AGAAGCTCCCGGAAAACATAGCCCCTGGGATCCCTCGGACTCACAAAGCCCTCCACCACGATAAGGTAGCGATTCGCTGAGGAAGCTCTGGTGGAGGCCCGTAGCCGTCCATGTTCACACCGTGTTACTTTATCTAGTTTGGTGGTAACTAACTAACATCTGAGCTCATGCATAACCATTTCTATCTGCATTCTGTCATGATACGTTGTGTGGCAGGCAGGGGAAGGACCCAAGATGCAGATTCACAGACACGGGGATAAACTCAAAAAACACAGCTTTATTGCTGGCCACGGGAAGCAATACAAAATAAACTAAAACTGGGAAAAGCTAAAGTAACATATACCGGAAGACACGAGGAGAACCACACACGGCATGAGGGAGAACGCGACGCCGAACAGAGGGAGACTCAGACAGAAATACACAGAGGGTAAACGAGGAAAGTGGGCACACACGGGGAACACAGGTGACACTGATAATCATAACGAGACAGGGCGGGGTGAACTGAACATGACACGTACAGGCACAGAGGTTCAGACAGGAGGAGAGAGAGCACGGGGAAAACACAGACATAACGGGCTGGGGAAACATGAAACAACCACAAAGGGAGACGAGGGCTCATAAATACATAGAGGGCACACAGGGGGTAAAAGCCATGAAGGGAAAACACTTAGGGAACAACACAACAGGGCAACTCAGAAAACATGGCCTAAATAAGGAACGAAATACAAAAATACAAGGAACTAAGAATACTGGGCCACATGGCCCAGGACCATGACACATTCCTGAGTGTTTGGGCTGTTAGACCATTCTACTTCTGTTTTTCCACACCATCAAAATTCTGTTTTCAGAAAACTGGCCCAGTAACAGTCTTGACTTACGTCTATGAGCCAATCATCTTCCATGCATTTTAAATCTCAGTGCTCTTTTGTCAATCTGCCTTTCAGACTGCGTTTCGTGTGCCTTCATCTCTGTCACTGCATATGTCTAGACCACTTTCTTTCTTCACTTTGTTTAGTAGTTTCATTGTGTAGCTTCAGAGTGCAATCTGCAAATAATTTATTACTTAATACATCAAATAAAGTTCAGTTATGTTCAGGTCTTTCAGATGATTTTTATTGAACTAGTATTCATATGACTTCTTAGCTTGACTGGAAAACCCTTAGCTGACTTATTAATTTAATAAACCAGCTGTCATGTGACAGCTTAACATGAATATCAGTAAATGGGTAAGTTTTACGAACTTGCTTCATGGTACAGGCCTGAGCTGGGCCTGGCTGAGGTCAAACGTGTCCTTAATAGTTATTAATAACTATTTAAGTTGCCACTCCTTTTGTCAAATGGTAATAGAAGCTGATTTTAAAAGCCAAGTAACATAACATAACTGTACTGAGAATAATGGTATGCTACTCTGAAACTTTCACCACTTTTATTATGTAAAATCTACCAGGGGAGGACCTCTACCTCCCACAGCCCGGATCATGTAGCACTGACTTTCACTACATAAATTATAGTAAACAGGTTTTAGTGACTGAACTTATTTCTAGCTAGATAATCAAAATAATTTTTTCAACAATAAAGTCAGAGAAAATATGTCATCAATAAAACAGTCTTTTCTGAAAATAAAACTTTTTCAATATAAAAAATACTTTTGTTGCTGGTTTGGTTAAATTTCATTTCAAACGTTGGCACACAGTAGCTGGCTTAAAACAGATTTCACAGATACCATCTTGAGCCAACCACAACACACAGGAAGAGGGTTATGTTTCCTGTTTTTGTACCATGTGTGACACACACTATTAGCCCTTGTGTTGTGTTCATGGCTTTTGTTACTGAGGCATTGCATTTTTGGTTTTTAAACCAATCCAGCCATGAAAATATATGCAAAATTACACAAAAATAACTGATACAACTGATGCAGATGAACAGCCAATCACAAGAAGGACACCAAAGATTAAATCGGTGATTGTAGCCAGGTGCGGTGAATGCTTCCTGCTATTGTCCTGCACTGTGCTTAATTTCTTCTATGTTCTGTTTTTCTAGGGCTAATTTACACTTTTACCTGATGAGCTGCTGTGATGTATTTTATTGTGTTTTACTGGTGTATTTTCATTTAGTAATATGTAGGTGTCATAATTTTTATTATAGGCAGAACATAAATATTTATGTGTTAGAGAATTTTGTTTGTTTTCAGACGCAGCACTGACTGCTGTTTATTCTAGGACTTTCATTTACAGTATTGTTTGTTGAGCTATTTAAAATAATTGAGATTCACTTAGTAGCAGTTTTTCATTTCTTAGTTTTTAGTGCTGTGGTGGCTGCCTCTGGCTTAATCGGTAAACTGGGAGTTCACTCACTTTTTGCTGTAACATAATCTGTTTGTATGTTTCTTTAATTTTGTGTTTAGGGTTGTTTTTATAGTTTGATCACTAATACAACACGCCAGTGTCTCAGCAGTGGCTACCTGGCTCCCAGCAGCAGAACTACAGCTGTCTTCTTATCCTCCTTTCTTTGGTTAATAGCCAGCCAGTGGTACATAACACACGCTGACTGTTGTGGCCTCTTAAGTGAAGCCTTTGCAATATCATAGAGACAGTCAGTGCTTTCTGAACTTCTTAAATTGTAATGCTACTGAATTTTTAATAGAACTGTGAGTGCTCAAAACAGGGCACTTAAGGCCAGATACAGTTTGTATCACACAAAGCCCACGTCGGCCATTAAAAACTACTCTCAGGATTTAGTAAATACACACAGTTCAATTTTGCAACTTAAAGACTCGAACGCTTCTGTAGGTTTTTGATACGGGCGACACAGGCGGTTGCCAGGGGGCATCGTGGTGGGGGGCGGCATCACGGTAAAAAAAAAGAAAGAAAGAAAATTGCTCGTACTCATGCTGCCCCGACGTCATGCCAGCGCATACTGGGAATGGCATAGGCACCGATCGGTTTTCTATCGCCCATTTGCTGGGAGTAAGGGCGCATACATTTTTCTTCCAATACCGGAAACTTTCTGAACACCACTTATTTTGCATGGCTTGATGCATGCATACCCCAGTTGTCTTAACTGGACTATAAATATAACTATATACACAATGAACAGTCATTTGTAAAAACACTTTTAAAATGTAAAATCTTTAAGAAGCCCCGGTGCCAGGAACAATCCCCTTTAAGAACACTTACAATAACAACTTCATCCCAAAAGCCCACAGGTTTTAACCACAGCTTCCCAGCATCAGTTCATGTATGCAACTACACCTTTCCAAATCCCAGGGATCCTTTTAATGCATCGTTCATAAGATTTTAAATTGATCTTCATCTGCAACACCTCTTGGGAGATACAGGGATAAGCTACACGTTGATGCGTATGGGATGTGCCGCATCCCTGACTCCTGATCGTAAAAGTCTATGTTGCAGGACAGTGGGAACCCCAGTGGTGGAAGTAAGTCAGCCCCAGTTATAAAGACCAGCAGCTCTTCAAACGTGTGGTCCACCTCTTGCTCTGTTAAAATACATACAACTGTTAAATAAGGTGCAATGTGTAGATTTATAATCAATTTAAGTGAAATTAAAGCTAATTATAGCTTAATGGCAAGAACGCGAAAGTGGAAAGTGCTAAAAAAAAGAGAATTATCCTTTTAAGTGAATCTAAATATTTCCCTTCTTCTGTCTAAAAAAAGCATCATCTCCTCTCTCTGTTTATACCAACTCTATTGTCTGACTGGCTTTTGGAGACTCAGATTTGAAGTTTGCCAAACAGAAAAATCGATATTGTTCACTGAATGTTTTCTAACAGTAAATATTTTTCAAACATTTGTTCCCAGTTTCTGTCTTTCCATGTGTTGTCCCTTAATCTGAACTGGAACCCAATGAAGCAGAGTGTAATGACCTCCTACGAGCCATCCTGTCACAGCGAGTGGAAGCTACAGTATCATATACTGGCTCATTGTGATTTACAATGTGAGCTATTCATGGTGGCCTAAAACAAACTGTGTGCATGCTCTTGTTGTTAAAGGGAATCACCCTGCGAAGCCACAAGTCAGCGTCACTAAACCTATATAACATATAACACATAAAACATAAAATTACCACATTCTAATTGATAATTATGGAAGTGATTATGCTGTTATTGGTAATGTATCTCATCACATTAGTACAGCAGTTAAATAATCTGTGTATACAGTATATCCATATATTCTTACAATGGCAGTCATACACACAGCAGCATTAATAACAGGAACTATTTCAAGTGAATTCCACAATAATACAAATACTACTAATAATTATATTGTTAATCATTTATCTGTGAAATTGTACATTTATTGTTCTGGAATGTGTGCATTAGAGGAGCACTTAATTTTGCTTTATTTTGCTGGATTGTATTTTTGTTCCTGTCTTTTGCATGTTTTTTCTATATGTGTTGCTGTGTGCATAAGCTGTTTGATGAAAGGCATCCTCAGTCTGAATATCTATATTTTCGTTTCTGAAGAAGGACGTTTGTGACTGAGACCAGTAGAGGGAAGCATTTCATGATCAGCCAGAGAATTCAGACAAAGATACAGAGACAAAGAGAGCACATCAGACAAAAACAAGTCTTTGCTTTGCTTCTTATTTATTGTCAGCATGTGAGCAGATAATGATTCACATGAGGTATTAGACCTCTGTCTACAGTTAAAGATGGTGGGCTTTATTTTCCTGATGCAGCTCAGGCAGTCTCAATGCAGCTGAACTCCTTCCTGGTGTTTCTACAACTAATAAAGTCCAACTTGAGTGAGATGGCCTCGACCAAAGCAGCCATATGTGTGTTGTTGTGTATGTGTAACCACAGGAGCTCTGCATTTCATTCATTACTGCTGTTTGATTTCACACACGTCTGTCATTGCAACATATTTATGGTGATGTATGAAAAACTGCTGCTGGTTTATTTTATTTGACTGCTTCGTTCAAAAACATGAGTCAGCTGTACTGCACTGGTGGATTTTCCTTTAGCCCAGCTTTAAGAAAAACAGCTCAAAGAAAGGTTACATGATTAATGAGAGAAAAGAAAAGAAATTAATCATCAGAAAGCAGTTGCTAAAATTTTGCTGAATGTTTGTCCTGCAGATTTACTGCACGAGACGAAACTTCATGCTCATGGCCTTCATGGAGTAGCCCCAACCCTTCCATGGGTACCACTCCATTCCAGTTGCACCATAAATGCTCATAGCTCCCCAGCGATAAATACCATTAGGGTTTACATGGTGACAGTTGTTGTACCAAAATGCCCCAGGTATGCTTGGGCACAGCTACCGGAAGACCCATCCTGATCTTTGTCAAAGGTGGAGAACTTCATTCCATTGTGGTAAGTCAGACCATCCCCTGCAGAAACACAACAAAAACAGAGAGTTTTTTAAATAAACTTGCTTCACACAGGCATCGTGTACAGCATGGCAAAACAAGGAACAACCGGAGGACTGGTGCTATTTATACACAGTCACAGGAAACAGATGAGACAAGAATATTTGAGAACAATGAGGGAATAAGTGAGGACTGGGACAAGAAGTAAAACTGACATGCATTAATCATTTGTCTTTTACATAGATTCTTTACCTCCATATCACCTCACTTACCTGCCCCTCCATTATTGAATCCAGCAATAGTCAGTTTGTATCCGTCACATTCAGCATCAACCTTGAATGAAGAGTAACGAGCAACACTTCCTTTCCCAGAAAATCCCTCATGTCGACCCGCAGCTCAGATTTTTGCTGGGATGTCAGGGCACTGACGATGTCAAGACCTGAAAACACACAAACACACATGATAATGAAGAAGTATAAAAGCTGACAGAGCTGGAAATCATTCAGTAAAATACCTAGTGATCTGCGATTATAGAGTTTGCTGGAACAAACTGCCTTTAAAGAAATTGTACAATACGAGATTGGCTGGCAAAACCCCATCACCACCTCCTTGCGGTGCCAGCTGACAACCACGACCGTTGGAAGTGGGCCAACGGCGAGGGTCGTTGATGTCAGGGGGAGCGACGCGCCGGTCAACGCATTCTTTGGTTGCACCGAATGCAATGCCAACCCAAAATTTAGACACGAATATTAGGACATCCCCAGAGACGACTGTGTCATCCTCGCCCAAATGACGTGAGAAGAGGACGAGGGCTAGCTGCCAGTGGACGAGGGAGGCCAAAGAAGGTAGTCCAATTACAACGCCTCAGTAGAGGCTCAGCTAGAGTCTCTCCGGTAGTTCCACAGCAGTACAAGAGCACCATCTACTGGCATAATGAAATATAACCATGGTCTGGCACACATAACAATGTCAAAATAAGTCACAATAATAAACAAAAATAAGGGGGTAATTGGTTTTCTTACAAAAATAACCATGTAGCTTTTTCCAACCTGCTACACAGGCACTCCTTTTGGCTGCAGTGGTTATTATTATATTTACATGCTTCCAGCTCCCGTTTCTACTCGGTGACAACTCGTACTTTTCAACTCTCCTTTTTCTCTCGAGGCTACATTCTTTAGGGTTTTGCCTGTAACACTCTGCTTATATTGCCTTCATATTAAATTATTTTTTGAATAATAATTTTTGAAATATTGCTTCATGTCATTATGCAGCAAGTAGGGGTGACATGGGCCGCGAGACTGAGACACAGGCATTAGAGCCTCTTAAAGCATGTTTTGTTTGGAAGCGTGGAATTAGCATGGAATTTCCAAAAATAGAGAGGGCATAGTCTCACATATGAAACAGGAAAAGACCTTGTGTAATCCATTTATTTCAACAAAGTAACTGTATTCTGAGTACCACCTTTTTAAACCGAAACTGTAACAGAATACACTTACTCATATTTAGTATTTTAAATATGTGACGGCGGTATATGTACTCCGTTACTTTACAACACTGTGAAGGACTGAAGGTTTGAACAGTTTGAGAATGGTCAGATTTTAATTTAAATGATTTTGTCATAGACAAAATAAAGTCTCACCAAGCCAGTAATCTCCATTGGGGTTTCCGAAGCCCATCTTGTAGTGATTCCAGGGTCTGTAGAAGTTCAAGGAGCCATCCACCTCTTGTGGAACACCTGGAAGAGGGGACAGTGTGGCAGTTAATAAACATGAAAAAATGTCAGGAAGTGAAATTTCAGACAGCAGAGCTATGATTTTATAATTTCCTCCAGAAGGAAGTGTTCATACTGAAAAGTTACTTGACTGGAACTTAACTGAAAAAAAGAGAAAGAAAACTCACTGTCCAGCCTCCTCCTCTAAGTCCATGTCACAGTACACCTGCAAACAAACATGTGTCACCTTTTAGCTTCTTGTAGCCTCAAACATTAGCTTTGTCTCCTACAGAGGCTGGACTGTACCTCGACAGCAGACTTTTCTCCAAAAGGGTAGATAGTGTACAGCGCTGGGTCGGCTGCTGTCTTGTTGGTGGATGTCGTTGCAGTCCAGTGGCTGAATGATCTCTTTGGAACTTGTCAGCAGAGGAGCCAGGTGGAGGATGGCAAACACTGACAGCAGCTGGACAAAGAGGAAGTTGTTGGTTTGATTGAAGGTGTCAGGAGTTGTTGTGTGGATGTGGAAAAGAGGGGACCCAAACGCTGAACTCGTGGTGAGGATTAAGGGTGTTTATTGAGGATGAATGGATGAACAGAACAGGGAAGAAGCAGGCTAAATGACTGAATGAATGACTGACTGATCTGAACTGAAAGGCAACGCGGAATAGACAGCAGTGACAACATCAATGACGCGACAACCCATATGGAAAAGATATATATAAATCTTATAAAGTTTGTATCTGTCTTGTGTGAAACTTGTATGAAAAGCAAACAAGAGTGAAAACAGATATAAAGATCCCTTGAAAAATTATATAATGAAACTTGTATGTTTTGGATACTTACTAAAACAATGTATGAAGGTAATGAGAAAGTGGCCACTTTCATGAGTAATCACATATAAGTTTTTACTATTTCTTTCCATATGGGAATGAACTGGTGAAATTGAGGAACTTAAATACACAGGCTGAATGATGACAATTGGAAACAGGTGAGTACACGGTTGAACTAACTAATGATGCATGGAATGAACTAGAACATAATACACTGGTGGACAGGCTGGCACAGAAAACTGGAAGTGAAAACATGGATGTGGAAAATAAACCAAACATGACAAAACTGAAAACGCTGGGTCAACGACCCAGGAAACTTGACAGAAGGAAGCTTTGAATTTCAGAGGAAAGATCAGCAGGCTCTTCGCTTCTTAACAAGCTCAGCAGAACCTGTGTTTCCCTCAGTGTTGCTTCTCAGGCTGCACTTAGCACTGTGTTTCATTATCAATATGTATTCATCTGCAAGCAGTCCAAGCTGTTGTGCATCTGTAGGCAACTTTGGAACATCACAGCTCCTCCTGTTGATGCTTTTTGAATAAATCCCAGATTGCCCCAAAGACGAGCTCTAAATCATCTCTTCTATCATTATTGCATAGGAAGTAACCCAGACAGT